TGGTATTGGCACAAAAATAGGAATATTGACCAGTGAACAGATTGAGAATCCTGATATAAAACCATCCTCATATAGCACCTAATCTTTGACAAAGCAGACAAAAACATACACTGGGGAAAAGAATCCTTTCAATAAATGGGCCGGGAAATGGATACTATTGTAAAGGCTAAAGCAGGACCCACACCTTTTACCTCTCACAAAAATGAACTCATGCTGGATAACAGACTTAAACCTAAGGTATGAAACTATTAGAATTCTAGAGGAAAATGTTGGAAACACTCTCCTAGACATCGCCTAGGCAAAGATTTTATGAGGAAGTCCCAAAGTCAATCACAGCAGCAACAAAAATAATAAAGGGACATGATCAAACTACAAAGCTCTGCACAGCCAAAGAAACAGTCATGAAGTAAACAGACAACCTACAGAATGGAGAAAATTTTGCATCCTATGCATCTGATAAGGGGCTGATAACTAAAATATACTTAGAACTCATGAAAATCAGCAAGAAAAAATCAAATAACCCATTAAAAAGTGGCAAAGGACTTGAACAGAAACTTTTCTAAAGGAGAACAGAGAATGGCCAACAAACATGAAAAAATACTCAACATCTCTAATCATCAGGGAAATGAAATCAAAACCACAATGAGATATCACTTAACACCAGCAGTGAGAATCGGCTTTATCAAAAGTCTCCACAAAAATGCTGGCGTGGTTGCAGAGAGAGAGGAACACTCCTACACTGTGGTGGGAGCAAAACTAGTTCAACCTCTGTGGAAAGCATATGGAGATACCTTAAAGCATACAAGTGGATCTACCATTTGATCCAGCAATCCCATTACTGGGCATCTACCCAAATGATCCAATGACACTCTACAGAAAAGACACCTGCACCCGAATGTTTATAGCAGCAATTCATAATCGCACCGCGCGCCTAGTGTCTATTGGGTTGAATAAAAGACATCGCAAGTGACCATTTAACTTTCCCAGCGATATTGAGTAATGTTAATGAGATTCATTATTAGTTTTTTTCTACTTTCTGATTTACTCTGTTAATATATTGGTATATTACTTAATGTGAATTCTTAACATCATTATAGAGTTTGATAAGTACGCTTTTGCATTTTCTCATAGTCTCTCTATACTCAGAAATAACATATGGTTGTGATATATGCAACAAGACTTCATATATTAATTTTTTTCCTGGTTTCTTGGTTAGTCTTGGATCCTCATTACTACTTATATGTGTCTTGTTGATTGTCTCATCCCAAGCAATGCTGGAATACAGAAATAACACCGGCACATCATATTTAAGTTACATATTTTCTCTCTTAGACTACTCATTATGTCCCATAAGTTCCAATGAGCTTTTTGTTCAGTTCTGTTTCATAATGTTTCATTATGCAATGACATCTAGCAGAAAAGACACTGCACCCGAATGTTTATACAGCACAATTCATAATCGCAAAGCTGTGGAACAGCCCAAGTGCCCATCAATCCAAGAATGGATTAATAAAATGTGGTATATGTATACCATGGAGTACTATTCAGCTCTAAGGTGATATAGCACATCTTATATTTTCCTGGTTAGAGCTGGAACCCATACTACTAAGTGAAGTATCCCAAGAATGGAAAAACAAACACCACATATACTCACCAGCAAACTGGTATTAACTGAGCAGCACCTAAATGGACATATAGGTACTACAGTAATTGGGTATTGGGCAGGTGGGAGGGGGAGGGTAGTGGGTATATACATACATAATGAGTGAGATGTGTACCATCTGGGGGATCATCATGCTGGAAACTCAGTCTTGTGGGGGGAGGGGGGAAAGGGCATTTTTTTAAACCTTAAAATTTGTATCCCCATAATATGCCGAAATAAAGAAAAAAAATACATGTGACTATTTAAAGCAAATATTACAATAATATATTTAGATGTAATGTATGGTAAGTATAGCATAAAGGACAGTGGGGGATGATAAATAAATTTGTATGGTTACAAGATTTCTACATTTTAAGTAAAGCATTATAATGTTAGCTCTAATAGACTTTCAATATTTATGGAAGTATACTGTATTCCCTGGAGCAATCAATAAAAAACTACATGCAGATAAAATGCCTATATGTAAATAAAAATGGAATTCTAATAAAAAAATTCAAATAATCCAAAAGGAGGCAGAAAGGGACAAAAGAAGAATAAACTCAATATGATAGGACTCATAAGAAACAAATAATAAAGTGGTAGGCCTAAATTTAATGTCATCAGTAATTACATTTAATATTAATGGACATTTTAACTGTAACACTAGACAAAAACACAAGACCCAACTTGGTATCTGTAGAGTGTAGAAGATTGATTATAAGCCCCCCCCCCAACAAATACCAAAATTCAGAGATACTCAAGTCTTTTATATAAAATGGCAAACTGTTTACATATAACCTAACCACATCCTCCTGTATATCTGAGGTCCTCCACCCAGGGCCATGGCCCAGTACCAGTCCATAGCCAGTTAGGGAAAAGGCCATGTATCACCACCTGAGCTCCGCACCACCTCCCTGAGACCCATGACACTCCATCCCCATACCCTCCATGGAAAAATTTTCTTCAATGAAACCAGTCCCTGGTGCCAAAAAGGTTGGGACCACTAATATTAATCCAATGTAAATGCTTTGCAAGTAGTTATTATACTGTATTGTTTCTTTTTATTTATATTATTTTAATTGTCGTATTTTTCCCCTGAATATTTTCAATCTTTGTTTTTTTTTCCGATCTATAGGTGTGGAATGTGGGGATATGAAGGGACAGCTGTGTATGCTCTCTACAGGAGATATGATGGATGCCTAATAATAGATCTTAAAGTACATGAAGGAGAAAATGGGCAGAATTATAGTGAGAAGTAGGAAATTCTACAATCACATTAGGAGATTTTAATGCCACTCTCTAACCAATTGAGAGGACTAGACAAATATCAATTAAATCACAGAGAATCTGATATACATAACCACCTTGATCTATTTGATTTTTGAAGTATATAAAGCAGAAATGAACAGAAATACAAGGTAAATCTACTATAATAGAAATTTTAACTGACTTCTCTTAGAAATGAAATATCAAACAAAAGCTTAGCAAAGATTTAAACCATACAAAATGAAAAAAAATTCCAAATTTGACCTTCATATAACAATCAGAAAGTGTATATTCTTCTCAAGCACACTTGGAACTTCATGGTAATTTGCTATGCACTAATTATAAAGAAAATTTCAGTAAATTTTGTAGTATCATAGCACATTCTGCCTATAATTTTAAAATCCATAATAAAATTAGAAATTAGAAAACACATGTCTTTCTAGTTTATGGGTCAAAGGAGAATTATAATCGGAATTAAAAAATACCTCAAACTGAATATTATTGAAAATTATGTATCATCAATGAAATTACATATAAAAACTTACAGGATATAATTAAAGCACTACTTAGAAAAAATTTTTATTTTAGAAAATAAAAACAGTTAAAACAAAAGGAGACAAGATACACCCAAAGATGTAGGTAGATACGGCAAAAAATATCTCTATTGTCAAAATCACTGGTATTTGCTTAACTATGTCATAATGAGGCATCAGGAATTTAAACTGATTTATTTAATATATGTTATGAAAGACATAAATACTGGTATCTTCAACAACCTATGCACATAACCTTATTTATTTCAAAGGAAAGCAGAATTATAGAAAACCACCAAACTGATAAAACAAATATGGATATGATAAAATACATGAAAGTATAAAATGTCCAGTCAAGCCAAAAGGAACTATTAATAATTTATTAATAAAATTGATATTTGAGAATAGAAGGAAGTAAATAGAAAATTTATGAATAAATGTTATTAGACTTTTATATAGAAAAGGTATGAGAATTTGAGGGGCGGGGAGGGAAGAGTGAGAGGATGTGGAGGGAAACTACATAGAAACAAATAGTAATCCTGAGTGGCATGTGTAGCAAATATCTATCCAAATTTTCCCCAATGGCAATCTCTAAATAAGGCATTTTTAAGTGTCTAAATGTAAAGTAATCTCTAAGTAAAGCAGCTAGGTTAAATGTTGCAATAATTCAATCATTTGCATATGGAGTGTACCACTGTGGTACAAAAAAATGTCAGACAAACACATGAAATAATTTTGAGAAAGCTTGTGATCTATGGATCACTCATTAGAAAACATACCACTATTTTCTAAATGTGACACTACAAGAAATACTCAGAAACTATAAAACAGAATCTGTTTGATTAATTGTTAGGGTTTGACCTGTTTATTTTTACAAACAGCTAATAGTATGAGGTAAACATGAAACTCAGATCATCACCAATATTATCTGAAATAATTTGGCCACCTGAACTATACATATTCATACATTTGAATATTTTATTCTGCCCAGTTAAGTATACAGATCCAACATAAATCCTTACTTAAGATTAAAATCCTCATTTATGATTAAAATGTTCTTTTTAACATGGAAGGTAAGAAGATTTTTTTTTAAACCTTACAATTAAAACCACAGTCCTCATAATTTAGTGGAATGAAATGGCACAAATGGAAATAAGTAGGATAATCTAGAAAACAATAAAGTAGTATAGGAATTGGGTCTCAAAGTTAGATCTATTTAGTGTCATTCTCTCACTTGCTCTTCAACTCTTAAAACTGGCCAAATTTTCTATATTATATCCTCTGCCTCAGATATATCAACCATCCATTATCCAATTTTTTGTTAGTACAGTCTCTATGTAAGTACAGCTTACAAAGTAGGGACATAGGTTAAGGAAGAGGGGAAGTATGGAAAGTTTGGGGCATCATGTTAGGATCTGTAGAAGGTAAAAAGAAATATTTACAACCAGAAGCCATGTCCTATTATTACCCTTTTCTATCAAACCCACTACTACATTTCCTACTTCAAGTCAAGGCCCTGTAACTTCAGTGTTTATCTCTTTTGAAAGCATACATCTTACCATGTGGAACTGTGGTCTGGAAAGGGCGACTTGGGCTTTTCAGGTTCCATAAAGTCAAGCTACCATCTGAATGGCTGCACATGAACTGTTTGCCCTCATGATGCCAGTCAATTGAATGAATAGCCTAATAAAATAATGATTAAAACAAGTAGAAGAGGAAAAAGTAGATATGTTATATCAATCTATATTCCAAAGGAAAAAATATTTTGACATAAAATTATTATACTAGTAACACTTAAGAAACATGAAATTTTTATGACCCATATCAGACCATCTTTAGCTTCTACCTTTAGTCTACAGGCTTATAAAAGGCTACTAAAACTCATTTCCTGAGATAAAGAAAAGTTAAGTAAATTTCCTAAGGTCATTATATTTCTAGAACTTTTTGTTGTAAATCCTATGTCTTTCCTATATCCTATGATAGTTCTTTGAAAAATTATTTACAAAGAAATAAAAATTAGAAGATAATTTCTGATAAGGTAGAGTCCTAGTTCCACTTAAAGTAACCAATTAAAAAATACTTTAAGTAAGAACTACCATCTGAAGGCTTTCTATGTGCCAAACACCATGGTATTTTTAAATATATTATCTCATTTAATCCTATAAAATAGTTTTTTTTTTCAATTCACCCATGTGAAATAGGCTTAGACAGATTGACATACTTGCTCAAGACACAACTCAAAGCCAAGGTGTGTCTAATTACAAAAGCCATATTCTCAATCACTGCACTGTCCTGGCTCTAGCATATACTATTTAAATAGATTTAAAGCAAAAAGGGTTTTTTATATATTTTTTTTCAGGTTCATTCTGTAGCTTTGAATTAGATAAGATTCAAGAGTAATTATAATCATTCCTCAGTGTCTATGGGGGATTGGTTCCAGCACCCCCTTCCCTTCCCCTGCAGATATCCAAATTCACAGATGCTCAAGTCCCTTATATAAAATGGCATAATATTTGCATATAACCCATGCACATCTTCCCATATACTTCAAATCATCTCTAGATTACTTATAATACTTAATACAATATAAATTCTATGTAAATAGTCACTATACAGTGCTTTTTTATTTGTATGATTTTTTAATTGTTGTATTATTATTTTTTATTGGTTTTTTTCCCAAATATTTTCAATTGGTTGAATCCACAGATGAAGAACCCATGGATAAGGAGGGCTGACTATGTTGCATTTTTCCAAGTTGTTGTATTCCCACTACTAGCACAATGTCTTGCATAAAGTAGGTACTAAATAAATATCTGTTGAATGAATAATTAATGTCACACACATTTCTCCATGCCCTTGGTATTCTTTCTAAATTTTTAAAAAAGTATATGCAGAACTTGAGTGATGTGCTATGTCCAGTGAGAAAGGCAGAACAGATGTATACATCTTTTTCTTAAATACACTTTAAAAATGGCAGGAGAAAGAAGAGTGACATAAATGAAAACTGGTCATACCTATTGTTTGTGACTTTTAACACACACATACACACATAACTGCTAAGTTTTATATATATATATATATATATATATATACAATAAGCATTAGTAGAGTTACAGATAATTGATAGCTAGAGTAATCGTTAAACATGTTATAAAGGAAATAAGATCTGAGCTGTGCCTCAAAAGATATATAATATTTGATTAAATTCAAAAGACCAGACTTGAGTTTTCTCTTACCCTGGCCTTCATTACAAAGCAGAGATTTCTTTTTTGCCAGAGTCCAGCAAAGGCAGTTAGAAGGAAAATATTTCCTTGTTTTCGCCTCTGCTTATTTCTTCTCCCTTCTGTAGGTGGTTTAAGGGAAATGTCACTTCTTTTTGCACCCCCCCCCAAATATTAACTTTGATGAACTACAATCAATTTAAAGTTCTTTTGGACTGCTTTGCCACCAAAAGTAGAGGCAGAGAAGGCATTCTCAGCCCTAAAACACCTTTTTATGCCACTGAATTTCTACTTATTGGAAAAGATAAATATAAGAATAATAGCCATAACAAACCCAAAATAAGTACTATAAAAGAGATATGTACAGAAGAATAGACATATAAAACCAACTTGTTAGAATCAGGATATCAAATAGTGAATTACTGAGGAGCTGTCATTTGATCTGACTTGATGGGTAAATATTCTATTTCTATTTGTTTGATTCTATCCTACTCTTTTCTTTTAAAAAAAGGGACTTAAAGGGTTTACTGAAGAAGCAAAAATAATGCAACTAATTCAAGAAGAATTTTAAATATAAAACAGATTCTGAAAGATAAAACACTAGCAGTTTTGTCACCTCAGTGGCTGAAATTGAGTTTCTTGAAAACAAAAAAGAAAAAGGAAACTCAAAAAACTGGATAACGACCTGAAAAAAGGAAATAAAGCAATTTCTCAAAAAATTAAAAGACTTTCCTCATGCCAAATGCTGAGGGATTTCTCTGTGCGATATTATTTAAGAATTATTTATGTAATGAAACAAAAATTTTACAGCTAATGTGAAAGTAAAATTCATATATTTATTACTGAAAATAATCTTGAATTTTTTAAATAGAACTTTCAATTCATCAGTTGCTATTCATGAAGGGGCTAGTTAAATAGTCCAAATGGCTTTACAGTGGCTAAAGACTTAATAAGATTTTGCTGTACAGAAGAGTAAAGAAGTGAGTCCATGATGAGGAATTAGCAGGAGCAAAGGCTTGGAGGTAAGAAATAAATGGTATTTTTAGGAGATAGTGAGTAATACATTTGAAATGTGGGGAGCATGTAGAAGGACTCAGTATGTTAAACTAAAGGGAAAATATAGCAGTAGGACCTTAAATACCATGTCAAGGAATATGGACTTTATATTGTTGATAATTAGAGGTCAGTCAAAGGTTCTGAGGTAGAGAATTATGTTCTATGTTTTTAAAATGATAATCTTATATGAAGGATATGTTGAAAAGGTAAGATATCAGAGGAAAGGTGATTAGGTAAAGGGCTTTTATAGTCATCTAGGCAAAAGATAATAACTTAAACTAGGGCATTAGATGTGGGAATGAGAAAAGAGGAAATAAATGAGAGACAATACAAAGAATCAAGTAGACTGCAAAAACTGATTGCATGTGATATATGATAAAGAAAGAGTCAAATATTACTCTGAGGGTTCTACACTGAATTAACTAAACAAAACTTTAAAAAAACATAGAAGTAGGTTCAGGTATTTAAATGCAAATTCAGTGTCAAGGGGATATTTTACCTGAACTTACTTAATAGATGGTTATATATATTTAGATCTAAAGCTCAGGAGAGAGGTAAATGATAGAGCTGTATGGATGTTAAATTTTTCAGCACAAAGGTAATATTTGATATTATGGGAGAGGATATTTGTATAAGTGTATAATTGGGGAGAGATGAAAAGAGGGTGAAGATATTCTACCCTGAAGAGCATCTTTAATTTAAAAGGGCACTAAGAGGAGAATCAGTGATGGAGAAAGGAGGCATGATACATGAGGTAGAAAGACACAGACAAATAAAGAAATGATTTTAAGGAGGGACTGGGGTAAAGTCACAGGTTTAGTGAGGAACTTAAAGATTAAGAAGATGTTACTATATGTATGTGGGTGACTTAGGAAAAAACATTTCAGATAGTTATTAAATATAGTTTCTAGATATGAGAGGTAAAGTGCTAAGGAAAGTTTGAAAAGTTTGGCAGTAAAATGAAGTATATGACTATTCCTATAAAAATGATAGAACATATAATTATCCATTAAATGGATATTTATGTAGATAAATAGCCATACAAATGGATATCAATATCCAGATGCCAATATATTTAAAATGATTTCTAGGTATGAATTAGGTATAATGTGGTACTCTACTAACTTAGGGTGTTGCAAATCCTTATTTAAAAATTTCTTCACATAATTACTTTTACTGACTTTTTAAAGTTCGAAATCTTCCTTCCATATTTTTTAATGCTGTAGGAAAACTATCTGATTCAGAATTTTCCTCCGAGTTCCTTTAGAGCTGCCTATTCTAATTCCAACTGGATAAATATCCAGATTGTATGTGGACTTTCATTTAACTGCTAGTCTTGAGAGAAGGAACAATATCCATCTCCATCTTTATATTCTGTATACGTAACAAAAGGAAAATCCTAGCTTAGTGCCTTAGGACCTTCTTTCCCTATGATTCAAGATGCCCAGGAAGTTGATCATAAAGAACACATGATATTACTTGTCAGATTATTTTTCACCAATCATGATCAAATTACCAAGCTGCTATGTCATTTCCTACTGAACTCTTTACCACTATGACAACTATCTGTCTATCATAAAGTCTTAGTTTGAGAGAACCACTAAGAATGAACTGTGGAGTTTACACTTGTGAAGTAGGCAAAGACTTAACGTCTTTAAGCACCAACACTTGAAAAATTTAACAGTTATGTAAGGATGGGAGAGAACATGTTAAGTATCCCAGTCGAGTGACGACAGGTTCAATTGGCAACGTTTTTTTATTCCTCCATGATAAAATAAAGATATTTTCTAAAAGAAATATGTATATGTGTGTCCTTTTCTATTTATTGCAGTACTGCCTTATTTGGTGCTTTTCCCATACAAGAGTGGGTTTTACTGGACAGATATTTCTGGCCTATATTTTACCTCTAACTCTTCCCATTCGTACCATTTTTCAAATTGAATGAAGAGTATAGAGGATCACCTTTATTTCCACAACTACAAAAGGTAATTTCCCTTTTCACCTTTTGCCCCCTGCTTCACTGTCTTCATATGAGCCTCTTCTGAAGGAGAAAATAATTAATTGCCTAGAATCAATATTTCAACAACTAAAGTGTAAACTAGGAGACTATCCTGGACAAATGGGAGTTTGTTGCTTCCCCTAAATGAAAACCTAATCAAGTCTTACTTATATACAATAAAGCTTACTTCAAGATATTATTGTCACTTATTAAATATTACTATTTATAAAATTTCTCTCTGTTGTAAGAAGGCAAGTATTAGAAGATAAGGCTTTTCAAACTGACTTAAACTTTTTGCCACAGAAAATGAATTTCTAAGGCAGGTGTGAATAGTGTTTTTGGAGACCTTAAGAACCATGAGGCACAAAATAGCTTGAAGCATAGAGGAAGGAAAAGCAGTTGAGACAAAGATGGAGATACAGTATAGGCAACAAGCATGAAAGTATAGAAGATGCCAAAATAATGAGGGGGGAGGGTGGCCAAAAATAGGTAGTGAAGGCAGAATTCCCTTTCAGGAGAAAAACCTAAAGTTGTAACTTGTAAAAATACCAAAAAAGAGTGTGAGGTACTGAGTGAGAGAATCAGACAGATTCACAATTTCGTTTTCTAAAATACAAACCTTAAAAATAGAAAACAGGCACAGGGTCACAATATTTTCAAATATTCAGTAGAAATCACTTACCTCATCATAATAAACTCTGAGTTCTGCTCTTTTAGATTTCAAGTCCCAGAATACTACAGTACCATTTTCATAACCTATTAGCAGCTGGAAAACATTAAAACAATCATTTTCTTAATTCTAACATTAATTTTAATTTGATTCAAATAAAGTTTAATGTTAATAAAGTAAAATCATACCAAATAACACAACCTTATTTAGAATATAAATTTTTCTAGAATTTGCACATACGAGCCCTACATTTAAAAAAACATGACAAACTCTGCTTCAATATAAACCAATAAACTCTGCCTCATTCCCAAGGAGAATTAAGGAAGAATGTAAATATATATAACACACTATAAAAATAAGTATAAAGATTGAAAGAAAAATTGGGATAGAAAATAAAGATGAAATAAAAGAGGAAATGAGCTAAGTTTAATAAACTATATATATGCCATTCAGTCCCATGCATTTGAAAAATGTGGCCACAAATGTGGCTTAAATTACTTCATATTAAATTCTATTTTCTCTTTGACTGATGACCGGATTTTAAACTGATAGTTTGTGAACACTCAGAAGTTCACAAAGGTATTCGAGAGATTCATATCATTAAAATGGTTGATATTTGTTTTTAAATCAATAAATATTATTAACAAAATACATATTCATCCTTCTAAAATAGAATTTGAGAGCAGATAATGATTACAAGATGATCATCTTCAATACTCAGTGATTCAGCTAGACAATGCTAGCCATGCTATTGATTTTTACTGTTACATGATTGAGTTATGACTTGTATCCTTCCTGTTTTCTTTATCAATGATAGATTAAATCTAATAAAATATAACCTATCATTGGTTAGTCAAAAAAGAAGAGGAAGGGTAAACATAACCAGTGGTAAAAACAGAAAATACAGTGATGGAGATAACCTATTCCTACATAGCATCCTGACACTTTATCACTTACCTCAACATTACATAATGAGACACAAAAAATAACAAAAGTGAACCAGCTAGTAGTTTCAACAAAAAACACACAAAAAGTTCAAATATCAGGTCACTAAATCAATAGATATTTATTTGTGAAACTATAACATAAATGTTTGGTTACTGATTTACAAAAAATGAGCTTTTTTACATGCTAACTTAAAGTAAATGGCATGTATGACTTACTAAATGAAATTAATGCCAAAATTAAATATATTTGAATATTTTAAAATAAAATTTATATAAAGTCATATATGCTATCCTTAGATATATTTTAACTTCAATCCAATTCTTTTATGAGAGAAAATGATGAACAATAAAACCAATTTCTATTGAGTGTATGTATGAGACTACAAGAAAGGAAATTTGTTAGTTTAAAAAGTTTGAAAAATATTGCTTAAGCAAGAAAATTAATAATGTAATCTTTCCAAATTTAAGCCCAAGATGTAATAAAATATTTTTAAGTGTAATTATATTTTTTCAAAGCAAATATCTAAAAGTTAACAATTGCTTTGCTTATAAAACATTACTAGCAATAGCCCCAGTAAATCATAAAATATAAAATACTAGACCTCAAAATGTCATAAATTGTTGAGGTAATTATACAAGATTATAATATAAGAAATATGACATTAGAATCACTTAGAAAATTAAAAAAGAGAAAAGCATCCCCTGACATCCAGGAGACATTAGACAAGGTCACTCTGTGACCATGAGGAGGGATCAAGGCAAAACAAGACCGCTCCACAATCATATCTGTCTATACCGAAACACAAACATCTCCCAAGCTACAAATCATACATATATGAATTTTAAAAAAATATTTCTCACACAATCGAATGTTAGTACCATAAAGACAAAGGAGTAGGGCGACTTGTTCATTATTAAAGCAGTATCTGAAGGAAATATGTATTTGATAAATATCAAATTAATTATGAAATACCAAAAAACAAAAATTGTAGATACTATATTCTAAACACAGTAAATTACAATTAGATAAAAATATTTTAGAAACTTAAAATATCTCTAAATAATTAATAAGCAAAGAAGAAATCATAATGAAACATATGAAACAGAACTGAACAAAAATGCCTCATTGAAACTTATGGGACATATATGAATCTTAAGAGAGAAATTTATGCTTAATGATTGTGCCACTGTATTCCAGCCTGGGTGACAAAGCAAGACACAGCAAAAAATAAAAAAGAGAGGGAAATTTATAGCTTTATAAATAGTTATGAAAATAAGAACAACTTAAAATTATTTAATGATGTAAGAATTTCACTTTAAAATATCAAGATAAAAGAGTAAATTTCAGAAAGTAGAAGAAAATATAATGAACCATCTTATTCAAGAGCGAAGAATATATTTCATTTATTCAAGTACACTTTTATGCCTTTCAAGAAGTTTAAAGGTTTTCCACATATGGATTTTCTTGTTAATTTTATATCTAATTATTTTGACTTTTTTAAAAATTTTATAGATATGGGGGTACAAATGAGGTTTTGTTACATGGATATCTTGTGTAGTGATAAAGTCTGGACTTTCATCACCCAAATAGTATACACAGTAACCAATAGGTAATTTTTAATACTTCATACCCTTCCTACATTCCTACCTTTTGGAGTCTCCATTGATTATTATTCAGTCCAATGTAAACTAGAGTACAACCTCTACGGCAAATAGTATAGAGATTTCTCAAAGAGTAAAAACTAGAACTACCATTCAATCCAGTAATTCCACTACTGGGTATCTACTCACAGAAAAAAAAATCATTATCTTAAAAGATACTTGTACTTGTATGTTTATCACCACACTACTCACAAACAGCTAAGTCATGAAATCAACCTAAGTGTCTATCAACAGATGATTAGATAAAGAAAATGTGGTATGTATGTACTATGGAATATTACTCAGCCATTAAAAAGAATGAAATTGTGTCTTTTGCAGTAGTGGCCAATGGTCACTTAGGCTGTTCCCATTTATTGGCTATTGTAAATAGTGTTATAATGCATATCTCTTTGATATCCTGATTTCAATTCTTTTGGATAAATACTCAGAAGTGGGATTGCTGTTATGAAATAGGTAGCTCTATTTTTACTTTTTTGAGGAATCTCCATACTGTTTTTCATAGTGGCTGGACTATTTTTCATTCCCAATATATTGGATATGGGTTCTAATAGCTTACCAACAATTTTCTTCAGGTTTTTTTAAATAGTAGCCATCTTGACAGGTATGAGGTGATATGTTATCATGGCTTTGATCTAATGATTAGTGACTTATAATATTTTTTCATATGCCTGTTGACCATTTATAAGCCTTCTTCAAAGAAATAGCTATTCAAATTCTAAGCCCACATTTAAATCAGGTTATTAGATATCTTAACTATTAAGTTGTACAAGTTCCTTATGTATTTTAGAGATTAATCCTTTGTCAGACATACAGCTTGCAAAAATTTTCTCCCATTCTTTATGTTACCTTTTCACTCTGTTGATTGTTTCTTTTTATGTGCAGAAGCTTTCAAGTTTGATTTTCTCCAACTTGTTTATTTTTATTTTTGTTGTCTGTACTTTCAGTGTCATATCCATGAAGTCACTACCAAGAACAATGTCCTGGAACATTTTCCCTGTGTTTTCTTATATGTGTTTTATAGTTTAAAGTCTTATGTTTAATTATTTAATTCATTTTTAGTTGATTTTTTAGTATGATGTACAAAAAGGATCAAATTACATTCTTTCACACATGGATATCCAGTTTTTCCAAACCCATCTGTTCAACAGGTTATCTTTCTTCACTGTGTATTCTTGGCACTCTTATCGAAGATCAGTTGACTATATATGCATGGATTTATTTGGGGACTCTTTATTCTGTTCCATTGGTCTATATGTCTGTTTTATATGCCAGTACCATACTATATTGATTATTGTGGTCTTGTAATCAGAATTTGAAATCAGAAAGTGTGATTTTCACATGTTCAACCATCCTTGAATGCCAGAAATAAATCTCACTTGTCACAGTGTATGATCCTTTTAATCTACTGTTGTATTCACTTTGCTAGTATTCTGTTGAGGATTTTTGCATCTCTATTCATCATGGATATTCAATTGTAGTTTTCTTTTCTTGAGATATCTTTTTCTGGCTTTGGTGTCATTAAATGAGTATGATAGTGTTCCCTCCTCTTCAATTTTTTGGAAGAGTTTGAGAAGGACTGGTGTTAATTCTTCTGGTATCAACGTCTGCTCTGACTCTATAGCTAACAGTACTGAAAAGGTAAACAGTTACTCCTGTCAATGATCACAGATGTTCCGATAATTACTGTATATATTTAAAATAGCATGTTAGGATCCTTCTTCACAGATAACTGGCTTCTCTATCACTGGATTCCAAAACTATGAACTAACATGTCTGAAAACCTTATGAGATAATGTGATTTTGATGGTGAATGTTAAATGCTAAATTATTCTTGAATTTCTTCTGATTATGCAAAGTAAACAACATCCAAGTCAGCTGCCCATCTAATTTTGCTCCTAGAATAATGATGTATTAGCTATTACCACAGAGTCCTACCTTGCCACTCCAGCCTTGCTGCTTGTTACTGTAACTATGTTCCTATTGCCAGACAGTTAAATATTTCCACTTGGCCTCTACCAATCCATGATATTTAATCCCTATAGATATTATGAATCCTGGGTCTCTGTCATCAACTCCCCCTATCAACAAAGGCCTCTGAAGGACAACCACTACCAAGCTTCTCAAATACGCCAGTACACGCCATTCCAGAACATTTCCTATTAGGTTGTGTGAAGACAGTGGCCTTCGGAGCCTCCTAGGGAACACAGAAAGTGAGTAGCCAAAACAAACACAATACATTTATTTTAAATTCTCATCTCCAACGGGTGGCCAGTTAGCTCAGTTGCTTAGAGTGTGGTGCTAATAAAGTCTCATCTCCCTTAGTCTTCTGATCCCTTCTTTAATACTATACCAAAAGACTTTGATATCTATACTTTATGTTATGGGTTAAAAATTAAACCAAAGGGCAACTGTAATCTCACAGTAACAATACCAGGAAGCTTAGCTTGCACATCTGTTCATGCTGGTTTGTTTGTTCTCTTCTCCTCA